AAGACATTTTATGTATGGTATAAATTACTTCAGTATTCTAGTGTATTTCTCAAAAGTGTGACAGACCTGCTTACAGAAATAAAAAAATTACTGACAGGAAGTGTTGTTATTACAAGATATAACGTTTCTGCTTAGAAAATATGCTTTGAGTTCTACCTTTCATACATCAAAATGTTGCGGGAACCACTGAGCTTTCACTCTGATCACCACGAGTCCATTCAATTTCAAAATACGGTCCAGCCAGAGAAGGATAAGGCTCCTTAGTGATAAACCAATGCCATCCCAATGTAGTTTTTATGTCCCAGTGCCAAAAAAAAAAAAGAGAGAAAGAGAAAACATAAGGATAATGGTAAGGTCACCGAATACACAGATTTGGGAAGAAGTCATTCTGTATGAGCATGAGTCACCAAAACGACTTCCTTAGTGATAAAAGTTGCCTGAGTAACCTAGATGCCTCACTCTGCTAAGAAGTACCCAGGCAGTGTGTTGGGTTTCAAACCCACTAGTCATTTCCTTCACTTAATTGCTAACTGCTCTTCCCGGCTGCCGTTTGGGGCCTGTGTTTTATGTAGTAACCCGGCAACTAGTTATTATGCTCTATTTTATCGAGGGGAACAAAACAGTGAACTTGACATTTCCATGGATTTCAGAGTAAGAGTCGTTGTTATTTCACTCTGACTTGAACGGGGGCATTCTGGACCTCCTGAACTGGATCTCAACATGACGGCAAGATCAGGCAAGACACAGAGACAAAAGGATTTAGCAGAGATGTGGTGGGCAGACTGAGTGCCCTCTGTGCACAAGTAGGTGCTTTATTCATTTCAAGGTCCTTAGCACATGGCAGAGAACCTGACCCACAGTAGGACTCAAAATACATTGACTGAAGGTGGTCACTGGTTCTCTGTAGAATATTCCATTCTGTTAAGTAATTGTGCCACTGCTGAGTTAGAATTTCATTGGGCTGTTACATTTTCAGGCATTTTTTTTCCCTTCTGTATCTCCAAGGGACTGTGATATACGTTGCCCTTAGACATATATGAAGTACTTTAACGATGCTCCGTTTTGACATAGAGCTGGTGTAAGTGAGCATTACTTGGAAAAATCTGATATACAACAGCAATAGGATTAGTGTTGTGCAAGAAATGTTTAAAACTGGGTGGTAAGCTCACATGTGTTATCAGTAATGTGTCTTGACTTTGGCTTTAGGAATCTTGGTTTGTAGTTCACTGAATCTCTCATTTCACACAAGTCTTTCATTATTCTTGGCCTGTACAATATTAGTACCCCAAATGTTAATTAATCTCCCTAAAATTCAAACAAACAGAGAGTGACTAAGTATGGACAGAAGTTGTTCTTACAGAGGCGATGTGTTCCAGAAATGTGGTCAGTTTCTTTCTTTTCCACTAGCAAATGTGGGTAAGGGTTTTTATTCATTTAATTGCATGCAGGGGTGATATGCTGTAACTATCAAATCACTCTGGTGGACTGAGTCAGAATTAAGAAATGAGATCTCCACAGAAAACCCCTACAAGGCCCATAGATGTGTTGATGATTCATTAAGGGCACCATATTCTCTGAATCACAAGTATTTTGTGGCTGCATCTGAACAGGAAAAAAAAGAAAGAGTTAGACAAGACAATATGATAAGAACTTCAGAGACTTCAGGACACCACCAGCAGTAGTGCAAAAAAAAAAAAAAAAAAACAACACCAGCAGAAATACCCCATTCCAGTGAAGTCTGAAGTGTGGGGCCTGTAGCAGAAAGTCCTGGGTTCAAATCCCAGGTCTACCACTTCCTGGCTGTGTGAGCTTGAGCAAGTTGCTTAACTTCTCTGTGCCTCAGTTTCTTCATATGTCTAACAGGGTTGTGAGGACTCCATAAGTTAACACATAGCAAGTAGCAGACACTAAATACACATCAGCTACCATCATGATTACCATTAGCTTTCCCATCTGGGCCAGACTCCAATTCCTGTAAGGACATCCAAGTTATGCCTGGTTATCATTATCACTGCTTAGGGTTCATTAGTCAAGGATGATGACAACCAACCCAAAGTCAGCAAAAGAAAACCCCTGATCAGACATGCCAACATCACAGCACTGCATTCCCTGCACACATGCAGAAACACCTACAGTGCTAGCGATGACAGGTGACTAAATGACAAAACTGTTTCAGGACAGTTTTTCATAATTTATGATAGAAAAAGTATATTTTAATCTATATTAAGCTCAAATTCCATCATTCTGTTCTAGCAATTCCCCGTAGCCATATGAGTCACATTAGAGGACATATTTCTAGTACTGAGCTAATTAGAAACACAAAGCCTTTCTCAATATTTTAGAAACCACTGCAGCAGAAATAGACAGGGCTGCCAATCCCTTTATTCTGCTACAGTTAACTCGGAACGGTCTTTCTTTACTTATTTCTATCATTTTAATGAATTGTCTTAATCCTTTTGCCTTCTTAGTTTTATCATTACGCCATCTTATATTTCCTTCCATCTGCCACATGGCTTTGTGTAGGAGTACTTTAATTTATGTGTTTATTTTTTTCCCTAATACTTTGTCTTTTTTGTAATTAAAAGAATATAGTTTTGTATCTTTTGTACTGAGCTTTTTCCCTTTAGCAGAGTGATTTTCATTTTCATTTCTAACCCCTACAAATCATACTGACCTTTGTAAACATACACAGAGGCCAAAGTTTTGAGAGGGTATGTTTTAAATTCTGAATTAATCAAACAGAACCGAAATTAAATTTAATATTCAGGATTCTGAAGAAAATCGTCTCTCTGGTTAAATGAATGTGATATAGCAGAGCTAAAGCGTCTCCAGATTTTTGGAAGGACTGGTCAATTCATTAGTCAGTTTTGAAGTAAGTGGGATGGAGTTCTTTTATTTTTCCCAAATAGACAGAAAAGAGATCATGGCTGTAAGATAAGCAGTATTCCCTTCTCAACATCATAGGTTACTATCAAGACAAATCAAAAATTGTTTTAAAAAAAATTCTTTGGTTCTTTCAAAGAAAAGTATGCTATTAAACAAAGTTATTATTATTTAGACCCATTACCTAAATATCTTCTGAAAAAAAGTCTACCGCTTGGGAACTTAATGACCTTCTCAGAATAAGCTGAGTAAATTCCCAGGATGCCAAAGCACTTGCAAATTTTCTAGCTCTGGCATGATTTTCCTCTCTATCCAGAAAAAAAAAAATGGTAAAAACAACATTATAGGACACAGGGCAAAAACCTGCTTGTTTTCTTAGGCTCTCACTCAGCCAGTAACTAAAATTGTGATGGCATCACTTAGCTCTCTCTCAAATAAGGTCTGGCTTTAGAACTTGGCTGGTTTTGTCCTGCTTTTTGGATCAAGTGACCAATAACACTTCATGTCTTTGTCTAACATCGATTTGAACTGTTTTGTTTTTGGGAGGGGGGCACTAGGTTTTCCCTCCATATGTTAGTTAACATCCTTGTCCATCCTACATCCCCAGAGTCAGAGATGGTGCATTAGACTTTGACGAAATTATACATTACATGCATATATAGTTTTATGGGAAACTACAATCTGCTTTCCCCACAAAAAAGATTCAAAGAGAATTCTAGAAGTTTGTCTTTTTCTCTGAACTTTTTTTTCTTTTGAGATGGAAAAATGATGGTCATGGAAGTGTTTTGTGTCTGTGAACTTGTAGAAACCATCTTGGAGGATACGGATGAAATCCCTGATTTTGCACCAACTGTGAAAACCATACCAACACGCTTAAATCACATACGGAACAATATAAAGCAATTGATATGAATTTATGTGAATAGTCTAGAAGTGTTGTAAGAGGTAAAACAGCATGACCCAGTTTATACCCCACCTTCTTCATGAGGTTTTACTTTATACAGACTAGGAACAGGAAGATACTTCCAGGTAAATGGATTTGAATGAATTATCATTCATCTCAGATCAATTTTCCACTAAATTTTTTCTTCCATCTATAACACATCCATTCTTTTAGTTAGTCTGTCCAGAAAGCTCAGAGCCCTTGACTTGCTCATCCTCTCTCTAACTCAGTCTCCAGCAATCCCTTCTTCTTCACTGTGTCCCCCAAGATCAAACTTTTACCATTCCCAGGATCTACTGCAAACAGCTTTCAGATCAGTCTCTCCAGTTCTTCCTCCACCACATACCAGAACAATCTCCCTAAAACACAGCTACAAGCACGTCTTTCTCCTAGTCAAAAATTGCAGTGAATTCCCACTGCCCACCACGTTAATTATAAACTCCTCTCCCTGGCATTTAGTTCTCCAATGCAGTCCCATATTAGCTTTCAGTGACCTTTCTCCTACAATTGCTTCATAATCCAGCTACCCCAGGATTCTTGCTGCTATCTAAAGGTCCCCAGAACTCTGCCACCTATCCAATTTTTGCTTATCCTGTTTCATAAGCTTTGAGCATCCTCTCTCTACCATGATAAGCTATCGAGATCATACCCAATCCTCAAACACCACCTTTTCTGAAAACATTTTCTGATCTTCCCCAAATGGACATGATCACTTCTCTGTCTAAACCCTTCGACATTTCATTCATCCCTCTACCAGAGCATTCACTCATAAAAGAGCTGTAGTCATCGCTTCTGTGTAGTTCCTAATCCCTTTTCAAGGCTATGAGCTCCCTAGAGGTGTGAAAACTTTCTTAACTCACCTGAATATACTAAGCAGCATTGCGGACACTGCAGAACAGGAGCATGGGAGGAAAGATGTGATGGTGGGGGAATGTGGTGTATTCATGGAACAGAGAGAAGCTTAGAGCCCCACTGAAATTGCTGTCTGGTGGGGAGCAGTGGGAACTGAGGGTGGTTGACATACTTAACCTGACTTTCAAACTATGAGCCTATGAGTTGAGCCTCACAGTCAAACTATGAGCCTCAACTTCTTCCAAAGCCAAGTTTCTGTTGCTCTCATCATCTTTTTTTTGCAAACTGTAGTTATTTGGTTTGCTCTTTAAGCATTGTCTCTCTGTACCACACACACCCATATACAGACTCAGCTCTACAACCCAAGAGCACATGGATTACATCTGCCTTGTTCACTTTCCCCGCTGTCTATCAGGGGGCCTGGAACATGGCAAACATTCAATAGATGGGTTTTGAGTGAGTTAATAAAAGCTGTGGATCATGATACTCAGTAAAGATTAGGGGCAGCCATGTGCAAAATGTCTAGCACACTGCTTGAACATAGTAAACACTAGTAAATGCTAACCTCCTCTTTCTCTCCTCACTCCCTCCCACCGTCCTTCCCTCCCCTCTTCCCTTCCTTCCTCTATGAACCACTTATGCATTAATTCATACATTCAACAAGTATGTCAGGCTCCTCTGTAGGCACTGGAGCTAGCATAGTGAATAAAAGGGAGAAAAGTCCCTGTCCTCATGGAGCTTACCTTCTAACAAGGGAATGAGTGATTCACTCTGGATCCTTAGGGAGCCTTAAGGATGCAGTTATTAAGTGCTTTTGGGGGAAGCAGAGCCTGGAGGAAGGGAAGCCAACCACAGTATTGGAGGGATGAGGTATAAAAAGGCTTGGATGTGAGTCACAGCAACAAAACAAGAGGAAAGGGTGCAGGAAGCAATGGACAGGACACCCATGGGATCTGAGCAATCCAAGGAGAAGGAAGTGGCAGGGGTGATGAAAGTTTCCAATCTCGTTAGTTTGCTGTGTTGCCTTAAATAAGCAGGGAAGTTTGGAGGGGAAGCTGTTGTGATTGGTGGGTTTTAGGGTGTGAGATGAGCTAAGTCTGGCTTTGGATATGATGCCTTTGAAGAGACAGACAGAAAAGAATATGGGTGAAAATATTTAACTCTCAAAGTAAGGATTTAGAGCCAGGTGAAAAACCAAACTCCCATTTTATCTATTCTGAATTACTGTCACTGTCATTTGAATAACTTCTAATATGACATTCTCAGTGTCTGCCAAATTCC